CAATACAATTTAAACTTGTTTCTTCGGTAAGTTGTCTGTTATGTGTGGACACAACACTGGTTCATCTCTTGAGTTTGATGCTTTTTTATGCGTGAATGATTTATATGTCAGTGGTAAGGGGCTTCACAAACAACCAGAAAGTAAAATAAACATTCCTCTAAAAACTATAATTATAATTCATAACAAACCCCATGACTCTAAATTACCAACATTACCCTGTAATTATTCAGAACTGGTGTAACACTGAAAGTATTGTTTACCTGTTCCTCGTGACAGTTAAAATGTAGATAATGATGACTGTCAGCTTTAAAGCAAAGGAGAAACAAATCATACTAATTTATATGTTAGTTACTTGCAAGGTATTTTAAAAAGACAGACGCTATAAATGATCTCATGATATGGCTCATAAATATTATCTAAGTATCCAAAAATAATATGATATAATTCAATTCAGTTTTATTTATATAGTACCAAATCACAACAGCAGTCACCCCAAAGCACTTAATATAGTCTGCACCCTTATAGGTAATGTGTAACTGCAATATAAGAAGCATCTTCTTGAAAGGTAAGCACTACCTTTCAAAATACCAACGTTATATTTTCTTGTGTCTTTTTCTTTTAAAAACCTGGTGATTAACTGACTGGAACCCCCCAAAACACCAAAAAACATAAGTAATAAGCTGTACTATCAGGGACTGCCATGATTTTTATTATGAGTGCACATAAGCGTAACATCGTAAAAAAGAAAACACTTGAATCTAATGCTGTTTCATCAGTGTGATGTTCATTCAGCAAACATCTCACTAAAATGCAGTTTAGGAACTGTTTGTTCACTTACACTGAATAACAAAACATTTCAATAAGCAATAATCTGCGAACACCAGGGACACTTGAGAACTTTGGAAGAACACTTCTGGTGCGCTGTTGTGTTGCAGTTGCTTTTGTTAAGAGCAACAAGCAGCTTTAATGGGGACAGTTTTGGTTTTACAGTGTGGCTAAAGCTGGTTTGAGGCTTTGTTTGCCTGACAGGGGCAACAGAGTCCTTTTCTTACCTCTCTCTCTCTCTCTCTCCCTCTCACACACACACACACACACACACACACACACACACACACACACACACACACACACACACACACAAATAAAAAACTTCAATCTTTTCCCATGCTGATCAATAAACGTGATAAGAACTCTATCCTGCCAGTTGGCAGTGACTAATGGGTTGGAAAACATGTTTTCTCTTGAGGGTCGAGAGTGCTGCCCACATATGAGAAACACACAGAGGATGAGAAAACTTTTGTACGTGTTCAGCGTGATGAGATCCCAGACAAGTTTGTTCACTAACCACAAACGATCCAAGCCACACTGTGAGGACCTGGTGTGTTTGTAGGCATAAAGAAAGTCAGAGATCAATGGCTTAATAACAACACCAGAGTTAATATTCATCAGGGTGTTCTCAGGGGCCAAGCTTTGGTTGAAATGCTAAACTGGTACAATGTTTTTAAAGGTACAGTGTGCAAAATCTCACCACTAGATGTCAGGAGATTGCAAATTGCAGTCAACCAATTCAAGTCCATGACTCTAACTATGGTGGCTCCTAAAGGACAAATACACAAACTGTTAGCCAGCGTTACTGAAACTGTCTGTTTTTTAAGTCTAACATAAGCTGACATTATGTTAGCAATTGTGAAAATAGATAAATGTTTTAGAACCGTGACTTCAGTTCAAGAGATAAGCCTTTAGGTGAGGAGGTGAACATGAGGGTGGAATGAGAGGAGTGGTGATGGGGGATAAAGACAGAATGAGAAAGACGCGTCATACAGCTACAAATGTTAAATGATCAAAAATTGTTTGAAAGAGTTTGTGAACTTTAAATTAAAAGTAACATATAAGTCATACTACGTGTGTGGCCATTCTCTAACCACACACATATCCACATTTAGGCAGAATATCCATCTCAGTCCATCTTAGTTACTGTATTTAAAATGCTGGGGCAATGTGGCGGCTTCCACAAACTGATACCTGCTCCCATTTACTTTTAATGGATTAATTCTAAGTTTATGAGAAAACATCAGTTTGTTATGCATTAATCAATGTATATTTACGAGTAAAACATTCTGGTTTTCTATTAAGTCATCTTTAAAAAATTACTGACTGTGCCTTTAAAGCCAAGTAGCACTAAAACACCGGTCACATCATATACTATTACATAATTAACTGACTCAGTTACTGCTACCTGACTTAGAGAGGGGCAAGGGTACTTTACTTTTTTAGATCATACAGTCTGAGTGTCGATATAATGGAAAACCAGGGAATGGGCTAAATGGACTGGTAGTTACAGAAGTGATTGTTTACTCTGAGCACCTGCTCACAGCTGATTTCAAAACACCAAGACTGTGATGGCATAAAAATATTCAAATCCAGGCTTTGTGAAAGGACTTTACAAATCAGCGGGTGACATAATGCTTGCTACATCCTTTTTTTCCACTGTAAAACAAAAAGAATGAACTCCTGCTGTGGCCTCACAGGTTCAGTGCTTATCATTTCCTAACTACTTTCCTTTGCGCTGCCATGATTGGTGGAGGCAGGCCGTGCGGAGGTGTGTGTGTTGGATCCAGGTGTGGACACAGGCGAGGAGACAGAACTAACTTTAACAAAAGGCGAGCCTTTATTATGGCTGATACAGGGGGCAACATAAAGCAGCACGGGCAGTGGCGAAACTAAAGTAGAACCTACACTGGGAAAACTAAACTAAGAAAACTGTGACTTAACTATGACAAAGTAGGAAGACTGGCAATGACTATGAGCAGGACCTTGTGCAGAGTGCATGATGAAACACATGAATCACTTACAGGAACATGAACTGCACAACAATCCTGAAACCCATTAACCTGACATGACATGAGGGATGTAACACAGACGACGTGACGCTGACAAAAAGAAACACGGGACTTAAATACACTGAGGGATAACGAGGGAAATGAGACACACAAGGAGAGCACGGCTGGGAGTAATCTGACATGACAAGACCAAGGGGAAGCGAGACTCAATACATTGACATGGGACACAGACTTTCAAAGTAAAACAGGAAACATAACAGACGCAGACTTGACTAGGGAATACAGCAGACCATAGAACACAGAAACAGAAACCAAAATACTAGAAAAGATAAACTATGACAAAATCAAAATTCAATAATGATACAAAACTCAAAACACTGGGTCACCGACCCAGGACCGTGACATGCGCAGGTTAACTCAATACAAAGACACCCTGCCACCCCATCACTGGCTCTGGACCCCCATGTGCCACCTTATTTGAAAAATCCTAGAAAAGCTCCTGTTTAAAACTACAGTTAATAGTTGCTAAGAATATACAACAGACATTTAATGCACTGTTAATAATGAGTTTACTAATATCTACCCTCTGTTCAAGAAGCTGGAATCCCCCAGGCTACAAAGTAAAGCTATCCTGGAAAAGGTCATCTTCATAGTCAGAAGGCAGGACGATTTACACCGACTACTCCTCCTTACAAAAATGTCTCTTAGCCTACTTTTAGAAAGAATTTGGCTGTTATTGTGGCACAGCTGTGCACCCTTTCATCAGTTTGACACATACCTCTTCATCACAGGGCTGGAGTCAGTGAGCAAACTTTTCTGATGTCCTAGCAGCAAGAAGCATCTGCGAAGACACTGCTCGTTTCATCAGATAATAGAACAGCCTGTATTACATATCATATTATGGCTTCACGCTCACTATGGGATTTATTTTTGATAATCAATGTGAACATCTATTCACTTTCACAACGCTCTGAAAGGCATTCATGGAAGAGCTCATTTGTAGAAGCAGCAGCTTTGTTCTGTCTGTCCTAATTTTCTTTTCAAATCTCTCCGTGCCTTGTAGACCGGCTCATACAAATAAGGCTGTGATGGAAAGAACATACTGTGGATGTACTCATGAAGGCTCAGTCAGACCCAGCCTGTGCTTTGGAGCACAATGCGGCAATCTCACAACATAGGTGTCTATGAGGTGGACTGCACTATAGACAGTATATAAAAGATTGCCATAGCCACTGGGATATCACAGACTGGTTTCAGACTTTGTGTTGTTTTGGAGGCATAACATTATCTTTTTGGATGCAGCTATGCTGATACTAGAGCCAGAAGAGATCATAACTGGACAACACAGTTAGTAACTAATGCTAGCAAGGTTGTTTAGCATGCTGCACCAAAAAAAAAAACCAAATTAGCTACAGCTGCCTGTGTTAAGATGCCTGTCATATTTTGTATTTTAAATACATAACAGCGGTACATGTATTCCGTTACTCCCCAACACTGCTACCAAGTTGCAATATGTGAAATATAAGCTCAAGCTATGCAGAGTATCTCAGCTCAATCTCAGTTTGAGTAACTACATAAAAATTAATCTTTCGAGAACAACCGCAGCATGACCTTCGTTCATACTGCTGGGGGCGCTTCCTTATACAAAACTAGCTGAGAAGCTCAGCAGGACACAGCAGAGAGAAACTTGTTGGGTCGAGAAACTGCACCCAGCTATCTCGCGCCCTAGATGATTCATTATGCATGAAGGTCTGGGTTCTTTTGTAGAAAATCAATAAGTGCATCACGTCTGAATTATTAAACAGCAACAAGACCTGCACACACGTCTGAGCTGACCGGTTGTTTACACCAGGGGTGGCCAGTGACCAGGAGTTTCACGAATTAGGACAAACATAGATGAATTAAACATCAGAGCGGTTTCCGCTCTAGAATCCCCGCCACCGCCGCGCCTCTCAGAGCGTATGATCCATCAAACAGAGTAAGGACACACGGGGGCCCATCGACGCTGACTGGTGGAACTGATAAGGATGAGAGCTCTGTGCAAGCAGTCACTGAGTGGCAGGCGTGAGCCGAAGGAAAGACAAAACACAGACTATTCCCAGAACAAATGATGAAGAAAAGGTCTTGTTAAGCTTTGAAAAAGACACAGAAGACAAAAAGTGGTTCATGATTAAGTCTATTTTCAGATTTGTTTTCTCAGAAGATTACAGCCATTGGAGGAATTATTTCCCCACTTAAAAAAAAAAAAAAACTACATTAGGAGGATAAAAGGCAAAAAATTATTGAATCATTTTGATTTTTCATTATAAAAAAAGAGACACAGTCACATAATTTGCAACAGTTAAAGCAGAATTGCTAAAAGGTCCCAGTCTTCGGGCTTGTTTTGAAAAAGCCTCCACGTGCAGCACTCAGCTTCCTTCATTCATCATGTCTGCTGAAATCATGTCGACCAGCGTTGAAAAGACAAAAGCAAGACACGACGTCACAGACAAAGGGTGGTCATTTTCTTCCTCTCCATTTATCAAATTCTGCAGCAGCTAAATAACGCAGATTGCCTCTGACTGTATATCAAAATAAATCTCTTTCCTTCATTTGTTAGAGCAACAAAGTGATTAGCATTTTCACAGAATTTTCAAAAATAGCCTTACAACATTTCCATAAAAAGTACACTGCTCCTCCTTCATCAGCAAATAAAAGAATTCAGCTTTTTAGTGTTTGTGTCCTCGTAAAGCTGCTCGTTTGCATTCTCTGAACTAATGATCGCGTTGCATTGCTTTTACCTTCTGACTCAATCCGAGTGGCTGTTATCAATCCGTTCCTGCGTGTTTGTTAGATCACATCAAAGCCTCTCTGATAAGTGGTTCATCTCCGTGCTGAGAGACACTTGGCTTATCATCGACCGTCAGGCTACAAGTTACAATTTTTATTTTAGGGTGGTTTTTGTTTCATTTAGGGACCGATGAGCTCTACATAAACATGAAAAAAAAAGAGTTTTGGTCGTTACTTGACAGATTTCAGTTTTTCTGAGCCATTTAAAGTGGGCAGGGCTTCTGCTCACGTTTCATACAACAGATTTATATTCTTGGACTCTACTTCAGAGGTTTTGTAATATTTGCTGTTCAAGAAAATCCTCATTTACCTCATGCTGGTGCAGCTCATCAGGCCAAACACAAGCCCTCCCCTCACTTTAAGCCACATTCCTTCTGACTGGTTGCCTCTCACAAACAGTAAGTTTGTACAGTAAGTGGGTGGGACTTAAATGACCATATTAGGGATATCTGACATCATCAGCCTTAGCTATCCTCTATAACAAACTGCTTTGGTTTAAGAAACCCATTTTAATAATGGTGGCTATATTTTCCCTGCTCATGCTGTACACCAGTGTTTGTCAGTAGTTATGTTTTTTTGTAATAGTAAATGATACTTTTTCACTCTTGCATCTACCTAAAAGGGTCAGTTTACACATTTTCTTTTTTCTTTTTTTTTTAAAAAGCTACTTTTCATTTCCACCTGTCATCTGCCACTCTCACTTCATGAGCAATGCTCTGGGTGCTGAAAACAGCAGAAAATCTCCACAGTGTCTTGCAGGTTGCTTGTTAAAGCTAATGGGACAATTATGTTTTGTGACTTGGGTGAAATAACTCTTTAATGGGAGACATCAGCTGCTTTATTGTGGTGGTAGATGGCAGTAAGACCAAGTCAGAGAGAGACAGACTGAGACAAAGCTTCCTTTATCTATTTCTCTTTAGCTCCAACATTCCTCTCATTCTGCCGAGCACGACCTGACCATGACCAACGCTGGCTGTGCCTCTGTCTCGCTGTCCTCTGGGAGCTCTTTGATATTTTTAGTGTATCCCTACAAGGACAGCAGGTCACTCACTGAGGCCACTCGCAGAAAATGGGTTCTTTTCAGTGTCTGGGCATTGGGATCTTTGTGTTCACTTTCCACAGTTCAAAAGTCCACTTTAATCCACTCGCACAGATCTGCAGAACAGATGCTCACACAGTAGTGTTATAAAAATACAGCTTTGCTTGTGCTACAATAACCATGGCAACTTGATTGTGCTACTCTTACAGTGATAAAAAAAAACCTTTCTGAGTCAGAAAGTTTCAAATGCGAACTGCTACGACAAAGGTATTAATACACAGGCTTTGGGTTCTTTTTTCCAGAGCCGATGAAGTGAAAGTAAATGAGAGAGATTCTCTTCTGCAGAAATCTTCGCTCCTGCTTTCTCACTAAAATAATGTGACAAAAAACAGCATGTCTGACTGAGCCAATCGCTTCTGTCTTTGGTCTGTCACTTAATGATCTGCTCAAATAAAAACGCACCTCTTTCATCTCTTTCTGCTGACAGCTAATTATCCTGCTCCTCCTCAGCTCAGAAACAACTTTCCAGCAGCCCTCCCTCCAAAAGCTGCCCGTCCCTCCACCCGTCTCTCTTTCGACTCTCCATCAGGATTTTGTGGAGATCACTGGAATTCGCTTTCAGTTCAGCCACAGCGGGAAGATGATTTTGGAAATCTTTATCATGTTGGTGTTTCAGTTATGGTCAAATTATGAGCCTGGATCCAAACACACAGCTCCTTCGCCTTCCAGGCAATCAAATTTTTATGGTACAAACAGTTGCTGAGTCACAACAATTCTGCAAAGATGAGTGGTTCAAAATTCCTCCACAGAGCTGTAAAAGACTCATTGCCAGTTATTGCAAACGCTTAATTGCAGTTGTTGTTGCTAAGGGTGGCCCAACCAGTTATTAGGTTTAGGGGGCGAACGCTTTTTTACACAGGGCCATGTAGGTTTGGATTCCCGCCCCCCTCCCCGAGCTTGGTTCTGCCGGACGTTACGTCTCACTCAAGTGCTTTCTCATCAGATGTCGTCTGATTGTTGGGATTTCTCTCTGTAATTGTAGGGTCTTCACCTTACAAGAAAAAGCGCATCGAGGTGACTGTTGTTGTGATTTGGCGCTATATAAATATAACTGAAACAAAAGTTTAAGTGTGTTCCAAAAATCCATTTTGGAGAAAGTTCTCTTCCAGGTTGGCTCAAGAAGGAACAGGAATCATTTCTTTAGGGTGAAGCTGAGGGTCAAAAGGCTTCGCCCTCCTGCAGTAGAAAGTGCTGCGTGACATTTCATATCGACTGAACTGAAAGGAAATTCCTCGCTAACCTTTTCCATCTTACACATTCACATCCTTTCCGCCTCTCCACCCCTCACTTCCGTCTTCTTTTCCCGAGCCTGCGCCTAACTCCTAACACTTGAGTTTTATGTTAAATGAGTCTAAATGTACATTATATTGCTGTATAACTTTGAGCTGCAGCAGCGTTTGTATGATTTATACCAAAAATGCAATGAAATGTCCCTTTAAATAGAGCGAAAATATCGTGGTGCTAAATACAATAGTGTTTTATCTTAATACTGATAAAATAATATAAAATTTAATGTTTGTGGTTACACTTGCCAATAACTGTCTGTAACATTTTAGCCCATTTAAAGGATATTTCATCTCACTTAAAACATTCATTGTTACATCATCATTACATTACTGAGGAAGGCATGATATGTTAGACACCTGATATACATAAGAAATACACAGTGAATAAATCAGAAGCATTAAAAAACTGCACAAAAAAGAGTCCCGCTTATTTCCTCTGTTGCTGCTCATTCATTGTCTCATGCTGGTCAGTTTTTGTTTTCATTCATTAACAAGATTCTTGAAGCGCCCAGCTGACCTCAGATCAGCCGTGTTAGAAAGCAAGGCGTAATTACCGTGACCTTTCAGCTAATCGCACATCCGGAAATCAGATTAAAAAAAGATAAAGAGCCCTCGGTTCTGGAAGTACGTGTTCTCTTTTCCTAAAGTAAAGCCCAGAGAAGATCGAGTTGAAAAATTGAAAAGTGGCAGTGAATTTTTGATTTGCAGTACTCGCTGCAGTCTGTTTGAATTACCTCCACACACATTTCTGGGATGGACACTAAGAGAAAAACTTCAAATTCTTTTTGAAATCTACTGAACTGGTTATTTGGCCGCAGCTCTGTGTGTTACTCAAACGACAGCAGGTCTGGATGGTGCTCCATGTCTTCAGTGCTCCCTCCAGTGGCTTTGCTACAGGGGGCGCCATTCCCCAGCAGGACATCCTCGCCCAGGCTGATGCGGCAGGGAGTTTTGCCCGAGCAGGGAGTGGAAGCCAGCCGCGAGTCTGGCCCCGGCGCCTTCTGCCAGATATCGCATTGTTTGGCTTTGGACTCCAGAGGGGGATCTTTATTGATGAGGTCTGGTACAGAGAGCTGGAGCTGGAGCCTGTGTTCATCCATGCCTTCATCAGAGCTTCCCACTTCTACGCCATCCTCTTCTCCACCTATCACTGTATCCACGTTGTCATTGATCTCAGCTGTCTCAGAATCAGCTCCGGGTTTCCTCTCTGCTGGGCCCGATGGCCTCTTTTCCTCCTCCTTTCCCTGTTGCTGCTCCTCCTCATTCCTTATCTCCTCCTGAGTGATGGGGGATGTCTTCTCAGGGGAGGAAGGGAAAGAGGAAGAATCCACAGGGTCGGGGGAGGAGACCACGGGGTCAGAGGAGATCATCATGTCCTGGGTCGTCTTCAGTGCTCGAGGGAGGCGCTTCTTCCCCGATGGGGGTGGAGGGTCCAGCCGAGGGAAGGAGTCAAAGGAGGTGATGTGGCTGGAATAGAAGAGAGGAATAAAGGTAGGGGGAGAAAAGGGAAAATGGAGATTAAGGGAGGCAACGAAAGACAGACAGAGAACGTTTAAGTGGTGACTACAGTTGAAACTTCTGCCATATGCTGCCACAAAGAAGAAATCGATTCCTAAACATATTTTATGCTGATGAAGTTTAGCTGCTTGAATTGACCAGAGCTGTTCAAGCTTAAACAGCATGACTCCCCTTGGTGGTCGTCATGGCAGATCATCAACCTGCTTCTCAGCCTATCCCCAGCATCTATCCCTCTGCATGCCTTCCTTCACTACATCCATGAATCTTCCCTGCGCTTTTCCTCTTTTCCTCCTTCCTGGCAGCTTCATCTTCAACATCCTTTGTCCAAACAATCTAAGTCTTGCCTCTCTGACTTTGTCTTCATACCGCTCGATCTTTCCTGTTCTCTCCCAACAGAAATCTTCAACTCTGCCACCTCCAGATTCAGTCTCTCTTTCAGTGGCACCCTCTATAAACCATAAATCATAGTGTAGCAGGTCTACTACCATCATGTAAACCTTCCCTTTCACTCTCACCACTATCCATCTGTCACAAATTGCCCCTGACATTTGTCTCCACCCATTCCACCCTGCCTGCACTGTTCTTCACCTCTCTCGGGCACTGTCTGTTGCTTTACAAAAACAATTTAGGCTCTGATAGATGGTTTCCTCCTTCATAACAACGTTACGTTGTGTAAAACATCCTAGAACTGCATTTGGATGCAGATAAAAGTAGATGACCTGTCACAGAGCCTACATACAGGAACAAACACTGAAGCTAGGGTTTGTAATAACTAAGGAAGCAATCCATACATAACCCATATGTAATGCTGCATTTACAATAGGCACAAACTATTCAGGCAAAGAAAAAACGCAGCAAAATGAACTTCAGATTTTGCAGTCGGTACACATTAAAACTGTGGGCGGGACTATGACTAAACATGTCAAGAAAAATTGACAGCTAATTGGCTGATGGCCCCGCTGTGCAAAATAATAGAATCCTGTCAGGGGCCGTTTGTTGCATCAAAGAACCACCAATTGTTTCATATTTTAACTGAATGAAACTTTGTCGAACAAAAGCCATCCAAAGTTTGCATGCCGCTTCAGCTGATAGAAGAATGAAACCTGGCAGGATGACTCAGACTTCAAAGCTGCTCTTGCCTACTAATAAGAACAAGCTGAGTGACGGAGGAGGAAGGCGGCTGGAGAGAAGCTACAAGAGCTTAAACCTACATTCGCTCGTGTTCGGAGCTCCTCACTGAGTTCAGTGAGTGAGCGTGTTTACAAAAAACACTCTAAATTCTTAAGCTGTTCCAGATGACGTCAGCACGTAATCCTGTAGCTAGAGGCCAAGACGAAGTGAGTCAGCTATAAGTCTGCCGAACCAGCTGGTGGTCCAGAACAATCTTTAGATCGCTGCTAAATGAAGCTAAATCTGTTCTGGGTGCAGCGAATGGAGATAAATGGAACCTGAGCGGCTGAAAAATGACTTTTACTCGGCCAATCTTCAGGAGAACAGACGAAAAATCCTCCAAAGTACGTTTATGAGAGTACATAAACATGTCAAATCGGCATATTCAAAAAAACAAAAAATAAAATAAACCCCCTGAAACTGAAAACTTCAAAGTGAAAAACTGGCTTATTCAATTCCAGGCATCTCCCAGGCACCTCTGATGTATCATCATTAATTTAAAGCCACATTTCACAGGAAAAATCGTAAATTATTCACCTTTTCTGACCCACAGCCCAATTCTGCAGTGATAGATACGTCCTCTGCTCAGTATAGGTAATGGAATATTTTTGAATAAATTAAGATAATGTCTTTCAGTGGGTTTATTAATTAATTAGACGTGTGGAAAGGCCTCCGAATTTCACATATTCATCCTAAAATCTTTTGACGTAGAAGCCTGTTAATTATTTGGGGGGAGCGGTTTGCTCAGTATTAAGATGAAGTATGAATGTGTGTGTGGATATGAGGGTGCATACCTGCTGGCAGCAGTCTCACTGAGTTGCTCCATGCAGCTCCAAACTGCACCAACATTCTTGTTGACCTCCGTGACCCCAATGTCTCCGAGGTTGCTGGGCTCTTTTCTTCTTAGCAAGTCATTGACCTGAAAGAAGGCGAGACGAGAAGGAGAGAAAGGTTTAACCTTTGCAGGTAGTTTTGATACAAATGTTTATCGGCTCAGCTGAAAGAATAAAAAGAGCTTAAACCTGCGTCCCTTTCAATAAGTCACACTATATGAGCTTATTTCAAAGGGTAAAAGAATACAGGACCTGCTGAGCTCAATGTCCCGTTTCTGCTTGTGTCGCACTAACCTTTGCCCCGACTGCCTTGCCCAGGTTAATGGCATTTTTCAGCCTCTGCTGTCCTCCAGAGGAGGGCGAGTCCACGCAGCTGGACCCCGGGTTGGAATTAGTCGTCGCCGCGGCGCGCCGGGTCGAGGACGGCCCTGGCCTCGAGGTCTGGGGACTCTGCTGCTGCGCAATGGAGTTCTCAAACATACTTTGATCAACTGTTCACAAAAGAAAAATGGAGAGGGAAAGAGCAGAAAGGGAGAGAGAGAGGGGTAGGTGAATACACAGTAGGACTTCAAAAAAAGAGCATGTCTGCTTTTAAAAGAGCATGCTGCAAAGCTGCAGGCCTTTCAAGTCTTAGGCAATACTGGTGGGATTTTTTACTCTGGGATACACTAACTTGGATCTTGAGAGAAAACAAAGAAATATTCCACTGAAACGAACACTTCTGATTGGTGTTTTAAAAAGTTCTTTTATTTTTCCCCCTTCCAAACTACTGGGCAAACTTTTCTAACCAAATTCATCTTTTGTAGAGTGTTTCTTCAAACATGTCACGTTCTTATGACGCGCTCTGCAGCTTTGCATTGTAACACGACGATTCAAAGGTTTTTCATGACAATGCATTTACATGGGAGGGATCTAGCTGGCAAAGCGTAGTAGATCCACTGATATCACAGAATAATACATAAAACAATACAACAACAAAATAACACCACTGCAGCAACACATGCACAAACATAGGCGGGAACGATCAAGCAGAAAAATACAGGATGAGAAAAAGCAAAAAACCCAAAACAAAACAAAAAGGCAGCTCAGGTTCAGTCCACTTAAGACAGACGATCTTACCTCTTGGAGAGAAATAGTTCTCGGAAAGCATTCAGTAAGACACAAAGTATCAGATATCAATCATTGTACTAGTCAAGCTGTTTCTGCTTAGTCATACAGTACTGCTACAAGGGGACACTTTGGGGAAGGCAACAGCTAAAGAGCACAGCTGCAGCTGTGTACGCATATCTGAAAGGTACATTGTCTTCATCAGATAAATGTGGAGAAAATATAGCTATTTGGAATCAGATGGCGTATCAAAGGGTAACCTTGACTTCTCTTGTGCACACACAAATATTTCACTTGCCATCCCAATCAGGAGATCTGCAAAAAGCCCATTAGACAAAAGGCCAGAGGAAATGTGATCTGATATTATGAATCAACTGGATACAGAAGGCATCGACTTCAAGGAGAGAGAAAGAGCTAAGTGAAGAACAGAAAAGGATACGTTTTGGTACTTTAGAGCGCGCAGAAGGCAGAGAAGAAAAGTGCAAAGAAAAGAAATGTCAAACTTGGAAGTACGATCGAAACCTTACAGATAATCTTACTATTTTGGCGCCACCTGGTGGGTAAAATAAAGCCAATAAACAACAACAGTCCTGGTCTGTAAATATCTGGTGCCACAGCAGTTGTGTGTTTTTAAGAAAGTGGCAATGTTCAGCCCGTTTTCTGAAACAGCCCAAACATTTGCACAATATTAACTGCACTGATTTTCAAATATCTTTAGCATTTGCAGCAGTAAATATAAGCAAACTGACGATGCGACCTCAGGCTTAGAAAATTAGAATATTTCAGTATTTTCTGATGTTATATATCTCAAACCTTTAATTGGTTCAACAGGCAATCAGTTAGTGGTTTACGTGATACTTAACAAAAACAATATTGCAGAAAATAATGCTCTTTAAGAGTTAGCTAATACAGTACATCAGCGAGCAAGTCATTAGCATCACTAACCATAACTCTGCACTTCCTGCCACCAAATAAGTGCTTATTATGTGTGCATCATTCTAAGTTTCTGTGTATTGGCATGACTGAAATTTATGCTTTTGTGTTCCACAAACACACTTCTTTAAATAATTCAACTAAGCATTTTTCCACAAATAACAAACAGGTTCCTGACATTGCTAACAAATGGTATACTGGCACAGATTTGCTTAATTAAAGCTGTGATGAAACTGGAGGCTAATTTATGAATCTTTCTGGAATGTTTGGCCTGCCTGCGAACATTATTCTTATCTTCTGACTGTTTGTCAAGGTAATCGAGTGATCTCTGGATCAATAGTCTCCTGTTCCATTGGCCAAAAAACATCCTTGTTGATCCCACCAGACAATGAGGCCACACACTTCTACATTACCTTGCAATGGAGAGTCAACGGAAAGACCTTGTAATGTAGTAACCCCACAGTAGCCTGTGAAGGGCACCAGGAAGAGAGGTGTTTGTGATACAGCCTCCATTGTACTCTGAAAAATGTATGTGTAAGTCTCAACGTTAAATGTTTTTGCAGGTTTCCTCTCTGCATGGTGAAAAGGTGAAACCCGCTGTTTGAAAATGAGCCAGAGTGTCACTGGCTGGCTCATTTACACACAGATGCAGTTAATCATCACTATTTATGGGCATTTCACTGCTGGACAGTCCCCGAGCCAGCTCTGAACCTCTGTTGCTTTTATGGCTCACTAAAATGAATGCAAATTCAAAGGCTTTCCATTGTGCTATGTTAAAATGCCAGCATTTCCACTGGGACTAGAGGTCAGCTCGTCCTGGCTAAATATACCATCAGTGAAACACAAAAGACTTAAAGGTTTTAAAACAAAAAGATATTTAGTCTTCATGGACATTACTGGCAATGCATTTCTAAGTGTAGTGCTGGATGAATGCATTTCCTGCCAGCAGTTTATATTAAATGGACAATGAGGACATGTGTGACCTTCCACGCATCTTCCAAAATATGCAGCTGCTTTTATTAAATATATAGACGTTCCCATCCATCTCCATGTTCAAAAAGCAATCCATCACACCAAACAAACAAATAACCTGTTTGATCCACCCAGTCAAAGGCAACCCATCTAGGGTCAGAGTCAGATTAATGGCCATCCCTTTTTAACCTCTTTATATAGAATTTTCTCCTGTTTGGAAAGCCTAGATTGAAAAGCTTTAAATCATTATCAGCGATAACCTTATCCTAATTCTGCATTTTGGAGAAAGGCAAAGCGGATGTCTTTTGGAGTGTGTCATTTAGAATAGTTAGTCTTTGCTCCCTGAATGCCAAGACTTGAGAGAAAAATTTTATGAAAGTAAAAATAATATATTCATTAGGGATGTACGCGATTAGTTGACTAATTGTTGCTACTGGCACTAGTCGGTACCAGACGTGGTAGTCGTTTAACATTTGATTGATGCCCAGTAAACTGCTGTGTCTTAAATGTTATGGAGCATCTGCCACCAGAAGGAGCATTGTTTATGAGAAAGGCCATAAATCTTTAAAGCTATGTTTTCATTATTGTTATTATTACTGTTAGTTGTTTTAAAGGCAAAAGAATGCGATTGTGGATACAACGGACAGAAAAGACAGTGAGGAGTTCAGTCAGTTGGTGGCGGGCTTAGGGTAGAGCCCTTATACCTCCACATTGAAAGGAACCAGTTCAAGTGGTTGCCTACTGGGTAAGGTGTTCCGATTGGGCATGTCCTACCAGGAAGAGACCCCAGGGTAGACCCAGGACACTCTGGAGAGACTCTTCTTCATCCTTCTTCTCCCTTTTTGCACATATAATGTGCAATGTTTATAATGCATAATGCAACATACCAAACAGCAGCATTTAAATTATGATTCATTAATGAAGAAAAACAATAGACATTTTTTGTCACTGTCTATTAAACTGCCAGGAACAGTTGCCGGGAACATCACTAGTTAGAGTTAGGGTTGGGATCAGCAGCAATGATGACTGAAGTGATGATACGAAAATGTAGGTGACCTTATTTGAAAGGTAACCAGTTTCTAAAAAAAGATTTTTTTAAAAACCCAACATGGCAGTGTGGTTATATTTCAAACACTAGGCCTGGACGATTAACTACAATACATTGGTTAAATCCATCCCATGTTTCTTTGTGGGGCCTTGTGATACCATTTTCATTTTAAATGGAAAATAAAGTGGTGGAATCACTCTTATCTCTAAACAAATGGGATCTCTGATCACCTTCCAAAACAAGTGTCTGCTTTCATTAAATATGAATCATTTTACCATGCACCTCTCTATTTCCCACAGTCCAACATACTTACATCACAGTCCAAAAATAAGATGATTATCTATTATCTTAAGTTTAATACTACACATTGTGCTTCCTCTGGGAGTGTGACACCTAACGTAACCTTGTGTATTCACCATCTTAATGTACAATACCATGCCAGGCATTTTTTAGACTTGTAGTCATCATGCACTACCATCAAGAGGGACTCTGATCGTCCCAAATTCCTTGTACCGTGGGACAATGAGCCCAAACATACAGCCACAGTTATAAAAAGTGAAGAACAAGGAGTCCTGCTACAGATGCTATGATCCCCACAGAGCTCTGATCTCAACATCATGGAGCCAGTCTGGGATTGCACAAAGAGACAAGAGATTCTGAGAACCTGAATTCATAAAAGAACTGAGGGAAATTCTCAAAGATGTGCGCAAACTCTTACATTCCAAGTATTCCTGTGCTTGAAAGTAACGTTTCAACAACACTGGATCCATTTGAGTTCTATACCAAAAAAGCAACAACATTTATCCTACTTTGAAAAGAAAATATTTAAGAATTCAAAAGCAACTTAACTTAATACAGCTGTGAGACATGCTCCCCTGGTAAAACAAAGGCTCACACAGGTAGAAATCCAGTCTGCATGATGGATTCTTTTCAAAGTTAGAAGAAAATAAGATTTGAAAAATAAACACCAACTAAACTAATGTCAGAGCAACATGTAAACAGCGCACAGACACACAGTCTCTGTATCTCTACTCATAAAATCAAACCCTTCTGAAACCTTACACCAAAATCTGACGTGCATCTCCCAAGAAATCAAAGAAGGGCCTACAGCTATAGTGACCGGCCTGTTCAGTCCTGGTGATTCTGCTTGTGCATTTCCAACTTTCTCTTCTCAGTTTTCATCAGTGAGAGACTGACTAACGTCATCTCAATATGAGAAAAAAATGATCAATAGATGGACTCACAAATCCAATTCAATTCAACTTATATTGTGCCAAATCACAACAGTCACCTCAAGGCAGTTTATATTGTAAAGTAAAGACACTACAATAATACAGAGCAAACCCCAACAGTCAGATGATCTCCAACAAGTACTTGGCAACAGTGGGAAGCTCTTGCTATCAGTTTACACCGCATAGAAAACATGGAAGA